TAATTATAAATTAATATATAAAAAAATATTATAATCACTTAATGTTATTAAAGGTAAAAAAATAAAACTGAAATTTATTAGATAATTATTAATTAAAAAATGTGACCACAAATTAAAAAATTTAAATGGATAAATTTGTCAATAAAATAAAAAAATTTTAATCCGCCAGCGGTTTGGTACAAAAAGTTACATAAACTAATTTTTTCAATTTACTAATGATTTGGATTCTAACCGTTATCTGCTAATCTCAGACCGTTAAATAAAAATTTTACCAAACACTTTAGTAGTAGCGGTTTCAAAATATATAAATTTATCAAACATTTATATTTAACGATTTAGATAAAACTATTAATCACTACCCCAAAATCACTATACCAAACAGAATAAATATAATAAAAATATATGTGACTTAAATATAAAAATACGTGCAACCCCGCAAGGTTACGAGACCCCATCTTCTTGATTGTGCGGCGGCAGTGTTACCAGCTATTTCTATTTTGTCGTTATATACTCATCTATTCCGTTTCATGTTTGTTAAAAGAACCTATATGAGATGCAATGCTTTCTATTACGTAGTTTAATATTTGAGAGTTTATTTTTTTTTTTGAACAATATTATCATGAGACGGGCTCGAACCCGCCCAAGGAAGATTGATGCACCTCAAGGTGGCCACCCCTTCGGGTGCTAATATTTGAGAGTTTTTGATGGCCAGAAAAAGGAAAAAGGAATCAAATAAAATGCCCAACTATGAGCACTCGAATACAACATAAGGTGGAGAACGAAAACTAAGGAGGCTCTTGAGTGATAGTAATTTTTTAATTTTGAACATTCTCTTTGCCAAAAAAGGAAAAAGAAAAACTTCAATGAAAGACAGTTACGAGGGGAATGGAAGTTTGGATTTGAGGGGACCGCCTTTCCCAGATCCACATCTGATAAGAAACCCTGTTTTCCGAAATCATGATCCATGAGCACTGACTCGTAGAGAGCCCCGGTGGAGTGTCGCAAATGAGTTGTATTTATGGAGGCGAAAACCAGGTGGAGAAGAGCGATGCAGAACGATTGATCTCCATTCGATTGACAAAGGTGGTCAACATCGGGCGTTTTACTTTAAAATCGTGCGAAGACTTGTATCTGGCGAGAGAAATAGAGGCGCGCGACCCGACAATCTTGATGAGGATGGCCGATCGATTCACTATTTGCAAACACCGCTCTCAAGAAGATGAAAGCCAAGGTAAAGGAAGAAAAAGACGAAACAAGTCTCATGAAGAACAATCTGGCAGAGACAGAAGCGATAATGGAAGAGATGGAATCAGTGCTTAACCAACTGAAGGGAGGAGTTTATGCTATGAGGAACTGGATGCAGATAACTTAATATTGTATTGCTATAATGAAATTACCATTGTTGAGTTGCGTCAACTGGCTTTGTGCAGTGAATAATCTGTTGTGTGTCCCAATTGTCTTTATTCATGTGAGTGCTGGCCATGTTTCTTTGATGTTGGGGATTGGTGGCAATGAAGAATGGAAGACTGGAGCTTATCTTGGCCACGCACACCAGCTGTTTGATCAAATGCTTGTGTGGGGATGTGGGTTCTGCAATATGTGCAGAGGTTGTACAAAGTAGGACTGATCCCATATATATTTTCAGATTAATGATCTTTGTATTTGCAATGCATGTTAGAGTTGTACCATCTTAAATAAAGTATTATCATTGTTAATAAAAAAATTGGTGTCTATAGCTACTCTATAAAGTTTGCATTTCTTAAAGCCTGAGTTACCTTTCTCGTTAGACAGCTTGCATCACAATCTCAAAAGTTTTTCACACTCTTCCACCAAAAAAATTATGTTGATGATAATGAATTCATTGGAGCCAACGCAATATTCAATAGCAAGCAATCAGAACAGAGAATGAATCCTATGGATAGTATGTAAACCCTGTACAGCAATAGCAGACACTTTCGGGGGATTGAAGAATAACAATACATCATTGGAAGAACTACTCAAGTGAATTGAGTAGTTCTTCAAGGGAGTAAAAAAGAGACATGTTACTAGCAGCAGAGTAGGATGGTATTTGAGATTCATTGTAATAAGAAGAAAAGGACCTGATTATATGTTGACTTTAGGTACAACATCAGAAGACACCTGAATTTATTTCAGAACACCTAGAGCACATCATTTGCCCAATCCAACCTTGTAAATGTTGACCTAATCTTATATCCGAGAAATTAAGAAAAGAGAATTCAATACTTGGCAGCAAATGGTTTAAAAAATAATAGAGCAATTATGCTTTCAGCATCCATCTTAGAATCAATCTAGCTTCACTTTATCAAGGGAGAGGATATTCTAAATAAGCCAGTTGCTTGTTTGGCAATAACAGTACGAGGCACAGATAACCAAAAAGCAAACAGTCATCTTTATTTGTAGAGGAAGTAGCAAACATAGACAACAACGATCCACATAAACTGACTTGAAACAGAGAATTAGAACATAGAAATCAAACATTGCCATTATATTACATAGGGGTGTTCATATCTGATCCAATCCGATTGATCCGACCTAAACTGATCCAATCCGATTAAAAACCAAACCAAACCGATATAAAATTAGATTGGTTTGGATTATAAAAATTTAAAACTGATATAATTGGTTTGGTTTGTGATTTTACTTTCAAACTGGTCGAACCGCCCGATTATAAAAAAAAATTCGATTATAAAATAACTTAATTAAATAATATAATATTTTTATAATATTTCAAAATTTTTTTCTTATTTTACAAGATAATGACTCTGTTGATTTAATTAAAAATAAAAATAACATATCTTATATTTCCTAATTTATTTATTTTTTTAATTATATACCTAAATTTTAATTCTAAATTTCAAATTCCCCTACAATTCTACCTTTATAAGTGAGTTGCATTATTCT